ATAATTCATAATCCAACAAAGACTACATGCTAAACATGATATGAAACAAAAGATATAAACATAAGAATAAAAGATAGAGGTGAAGAATCCTTCTCTAGAGTGGCATGAAGATGAAAATCCATCCAAAACATCAAAGGAGAGTTTGGACCAAAACCTAACTCAAGAGGAGAGGAAACTTCCTCCATGAAAAATAAAAGTCTCCTCCACTCAAGAACAAGAAAAAGTGAAGTGTGTCTCAATGATGAGAGTAAAAATAGATATATATGGCTCAAACACGTTTTTGGAGCACTCAAAAACGTTTTGATTAAAAAAAACAAAGTTAGAAAAAGTGATTTTTGGGCAGTTCTAGGGACTGGATCGACCTTGGGTCGATCCGCAGGTCGTCCGCCCTTGCTTCTTTTGCTCGCCAGACGGACATGTCTTCACTAAAACATTCATAACGTTTGCAATATAGCTCTAAATGAGTTGAAAACACCTCCATTGGAAAGCTAACTCAATTTCTTTTCAGGTCACAAAATTGCAGATTAATCCGATCAAGGGAAGACTATCAACAGATATGATCTTTGAGCCGATTCGAACTTTTTCTGCATGTTTTTGCCCATTTGATCAATTCTTCTAACTTCTTTGTGTCCAACTTACTCCAATATCTCCAAAGTACCTAAAATGGAACCAAATATCCACAAAATGCAAAGAAATAGATCATAGACTCTAAATGATTCTAACTATGAAATGAGACTCAAAATGCAAAGGAACACACTAATATGATGCAAAAAGATACCAAATGCATATGAATATAGGCTATGTGAATGCACAAAATCACGATATATCAAACCATACATATTTGAAGTGATAATCATCTTTTGTTAATTTAAAAAAAAAAAAAATTGTTAATCTCAATTTATTTAAGGAAAATTAGCATGTATATTAGTCTATGTACATATAATTAGACATCTAACATCCTAAAAATCATAATTTAGTAACTAACATATAATATCAATTTTACCCTTATGCAATTACTTGTTTTTACCTTAAAAAAATTATTTACCTAAACCTAGTTTCCTAAAAAAAATATTCTCTCCTAATATTATTCTACTCTCACGCCGTCACCTTC